GGTTCCAGCTGGAGGCTTTCAGTGACGCAAGGGTTATAGATTAACCCCGTTCTCCACATGAACCTGTTATAGTGTCAGGCGTTGCTGTTTGGGGGAGATATACACTGATAAACCGTGAGGACTGAAGTAAACCACTGGAGTCTGTGGTGGAACGAGGGGTTACACACACACACACACACACACACACACACACACCGGAGAGGCTGTTCAGCCCCAGTGTCAGAGACCAGACCGTCGCTGATCTCCAGTTACAGGAACGGAACGAGTTTATTGACACTGATCTGACAGTCAAGCTGCTGACTGCAGGTCAGGCCTGTGTGTGTGTGTCTGTGACGGCTGGTAAATGACGCTGGGATTGTGTGTGTGTGTGTGTGAGAGAGAGTGTGAGCTTGTGTGAGTATGTTTGGGAGAGAGAGAGAGTGAGTGTGAGAGAATGTGTGTGTGTGAGAGAGAGAGAGAGAGAGTGAGTGTGAGAGAATGTGTGTGTGTGAGAGAGAGAGAGAGAGAGTGTGTGTGTGTGTGTGTGTGTGTGTGTGTGTGAGAGAGAGTGAGTGTGTGTGAGAGAGAGTGTGATTTTTACATATATGTTTACTGTATATTTTATTATTTATAAATAATATATTGATGCTTTGGCAACATTGTGTTACACAGTCATGCTAATAAAGCTAATTTGAAATTGAAATTGAGTGTGAGCTTGTGTGAGTATGTTTGAGAGTGTGTGTGAGAGTGTGTGTGTGACGGCTGGGCTCCGCTGGGATTGAACCTCGTCTCCAGATGGTGTCGGTCATGGCCATCTGCTGCTGCACTGGGAGCCGGAGGAATGCCCAACACCAGTGACATTACCATCAGCTTCCATCAAGGACTCAGTCTCTCTAAGCCCCGCCTCTCTGAGAGCTGCTCTGCTGTGATTGGTCAGAAAGCAAACGCTCATTATCATATCTGAATCTCAGCTCTTGATCACAGTGATGCGAACAGTAACGATAGCGTGGGTTTCACCGTCTCAATCTCAGAAAACAGCGTCTCCTCGACACGAACAACACGAGCCGAACTCTCCCAGTCTCAGATACACTACAGTGTTTGAGGGCGGAGCTAAGAGACGCTGCTCAGCCAATCAACACCACAGGCTGGCATTATGCTAATTAGTCACACACCTACGCAGGATCAGCAGGAAGTGAGACTGGATTACTGACGACTCGTTTCAAGATGTTACTGAAACGATAACTTATGTTTTACACTTTGATGTTTAAAACTTTGCAGACTTTTTACATTCACAAACAGCTTTATCACACAAAACATGAAGATCATATTTGGAAAAGCATAAAGGGCCACTTTAAAGACAGTGGAAGTGAATGTTGGAATAGTGGAATAGCTAATGCTCTGAGCTAGTTATTAAAAATGTGGTCAGATGTGTAACTGCTGTCCATCTAATGCTGTAAATGCTTGTAAAAAGATCATATATTTGTGGAGGAAACACCGGTTATTCGGAGTCGGGTATAAAAGGGTCTTGTAGTGACTTTAATCTTCAGGAAAGTGTCCAGCATTGTTGAGTTTAACCCCCTGACGGATGCTCATTTTAACAGGTTAAAGCCTAAATCCATCCTCAAAATACCCGTTAAACTGACGATACACAAGCTGTGACATCATACGCGTAGATGCTTATGGCTAGTTTGAGGATTAGAAGGCTAACATGATTAGCAATCGGACCTGATCACGTTTCTGTCTGTCTGTTTTCGGTCGCTGTGTGAATGTGAGCAACGGTGTCGGTTCATGATGTCAGAGATGTGTGGAGATCCGAACGCTGAGATCTGATTGGTTGATGAGTCTCCTGTCATGCATGTTTTCTGTGTTTCTGCTCGTGTGTGTCTGAGCAGTTTGACCTGCTGGAATGTGTGTGTCCGTCACACCTCCGCCCACTCCCACAGTCTGCTCCAATCAGAGAGCAGCTCAGTGCTGTCAGAGGTCAGGTGTGTGTGTGTGTGTGTGTGTGTGCAGGTATAACCGCATTCCTGCCACGGCTCATTTCTGCTCTGAGATTCAGGAAATGTTCTAGATGCTTTGATGATATGAGATTTACAAACAGCTGTGAATCACACGTGCCTCGTCACTGTCAGGTTATTTTCGAGAGTGTCACTGCTCATCTGGTGAAGCGTGTTCCTCTGCGTGTTCCTCTGCGTGTTCCTCTGCGTGTTCCTCTGCGTGTTCCTCTGCGTGTTCCTCTGCGTGTTCCTCTGCGTGTTCCTCTGCGTGTTCATGCGTGTTCCTCTGCGTGTTCCTCTGCGTGTTCCTCTGCGTGTTCATGCGTGTTCCTCTGCGTGTTCCTCTGCGTGTTCCTCTGCGTGTTTCTCTGCGTGTTCCTCTGCGTGTTCCTCTGCGTGTTCCTCTGCGTGTTCCTCTGCGTGTTCATGCGTGTTCCTCTGCGTGTTCCTCTGCGTGTTCCTCTGCGTGTTTCTCTGCGTGTTCCTCTGCGTGTTCCTCTGCGTGTTCCTCTGCGTGTTCATGC